TCTCTCTCTCTCACACACACACGAGTATACACGCATATTTGCCCACAAAGAAAAACAATCTCATATTCTCCATTAAGAGAAGCAGATAGAGCACTAAAGAGAAACAAAAGAGAAAAATAAACTTGTCAACTACACCCTGTTACAAAATCAATGGGAAGGAATTCAAATGAAAATAGCTCTTATTCTAAAACTTATATAGACACGCAAGGGAAGTTTTAAATGAAAAACCAATATAACCAGAGAGGATGAAGCTGAGTGGCAGGATGATTGACTGCCATGTGCAATGTCTTAGATTCTATCCACAGCATAAGAAAAAAAAAAGTGAATGAAACTTATAAGACTTTTATTATCTGACTCACTATCTAAATCACAGCAATCAAGACAGAACATGCTAGGTCATAGGCCCAATAAAATTTTATAGACTACTGACATCATGGTCTTCTTAGCTTGTGTAAATATACTCTGCTAGGGGACCCACAGGAAGACCAAGCTGCCTATCAGCTACATATACGTATGGGGCCTATATTTAGTCCATGCATGCTCTTTGGTTGGTGGTTCATTCTCTGTGAGGACCCATGGTCCTGGGTGATCTGTATCTGTTGATCTTCTTGTAAAGTTCTTGTCCCTTCTAGGTTCCTCTATCCTTCCCCCAACTCTTCCACTAGGCTCCCTGAGCTCTGCCTAATGTTTGGCTGTGGATCTCTGCATCTGTTTCGATCTACTTATAGCAGTGGTTTTTAACCTGTGTGCTGTGACCCTTTGAAGGTTTAATGACCCGTTCATAGTCATCAAAGACCATAAAAAAAACCAGATATTTACATTACAATTTACAAGAGTAGCAAAATTAGTTATGAAGTAGCAGCAAAAATAATTTTATGATTGGGGTAACCATAACACAAGGAACGGTACTAAAGGGTTGCAGCATTAGAAAGGATAAGAACCACTGTACTATATATAGGGATGTGAAATTCAAACCAAAAATTCATGTAGTACTACTACATGCTGAGTTAGTTTAAAAGATGCAATTTCAAGTCAATTTTCTTCGGTGGCCACAGAAAACCTAATGGAAAACAAAATGTAAAATGTGGTGTAGCTGCTATATTTAGGGAAAAAGCAGAAAGTGTCTTTCCATAATTTGTTGTTATCAGTTCAGGATGATATAATAATTAAGAGATTGAACCTAGATAAGCCACAAATTTCTATCCTTGTCAATTATGTAACAGCAGAGATAGTGTAAACAAATGCTGCCACCTTGTGGACTAACGGATCTGGTATTAGGCCCACAAAATCAAAAAGGATTTGGTTTAGTACTTTTCCTCTCAGAAAAAGTTTATAATAATAATATTAATTTGTTCTAACAACACTGTTAGTGGTTTTTTAACATTCCTTCATTACAAGAAATCAAACCTTAGAACGAATCACCAATATGCTTCAAAGTACAAAAAAAGTCACCCAAATTATAAAATTTAAAATGCTTTCTCATTTTGGGTTTCATCTTCCTTTCTTGCTACCTGTTAGTCTTCATTTCTTGTTTGCAAAACAAACGTCCAAGTTTGGAAAACTTTCAGTAAGAAATGTTAATTCAATATAATTGAGAGAAAAAAAGGAAGGCTAAATATGCCAATTAACCACCATATCTACTTAAATTTGCAGTATTTTAATTTAAAATATCTAAATGTAAGTGGCCTCACTTTGAATGTCTAATATTTCTAGTCTGAAATATGCCTAAATTTCAACTACTTCTCTTCTAGACTATAAAAATGCTTTGATATGAATGTCGATATGGTAAAAATTTAAGTACGTTTGCTAAAAAAATATAGTAAACTGAACAAAACTAGGTTTTAAACAGGTTAAGAAAATATTCCTTTTGAAATGGACAGAAGACAAGTCCTATATCCCTCAAGTAGAGATGCTGCTTTTGCAACATGCTGATTAAAAAAAAGTTTTGGTCTTGTTTTTAACTGAAAAGAAGATATCATACAGGACAAATTAACAATGATCAGGGACATTAACTGGCATCACAACAGGGTCCAAATATGTTAATATTGGGTCAGTTTATTTCAAAATCTTTTTTTTATTTTTATTTTATCTTGTTTGTTTTTTGAGACAACATCAAACTATGTAGCCCTGGCTGGCCTGAAATTTTCGGTATAGAACAAGTTGTCCTCATACTCATACAGAACTACCTGCCTCTGCCTGCAGAATACTGAGATTTAAGGCATTTGCCACCACACCAGGCTCTTTCAGTTTTGTACTCAAACTACACTTCTAAAGCATTTAACAACCTATGTCATATATTCTTAACAGTAGTTAAAATTTTATGTGATTGGTATATACTCGTTTATATAGACCTACAAGATATGGTAAACATAATGAAGTCTATAACACCTGAAAAAGATAAACAAGAAAGCAGACACGGGGTAAGATGATCAATCCTCACTTAGAAAGACAAATGAGATGTGCATTAGACAAATGACAGGAGTCTACCGCAGAAGGCATCTGAAAGACTCTACCTAGCAGCGTTTCAAAACAGATACCAAGACTCATAACCAAACCTTCGGCAGAAGGCGAGTTAGTATGACGTGGAAAGGACAGGAGCTCCACAAGGACCAAATATATCTGGGCACAGGGCTTTTTTCTGAAACTGTTTCTCCAACCAAGGCCCATGTATGGATATAACCTAGAACCTTTGCTCGGACGAAGCTCGTGGTAGCTCAATAACCAATTGATTTCCCATAGTAAGGGGAACAGGGACTATTTCTGACAGGAACTCAATGGTAGGCTCTTTGACCTCTCCACCCCCCAAGGGAGGAGCAGTCCTGCTAGGCCACAGAGGAGGACTTTGCAGCCAGTCCTGAAGATACCTGATAAAACAGGGTCAGACAAAAGGGGCTGAGGTCCTCCCCAATCCGTGCACTTGGAAAGGGGCAGAGAGGAGCTGAGAGAGGGAGGGTGGGATTGGGAGGGAATAAGGGAGCAGGATACAGCTAAGATACAGAGTTAATAAAATGTAACCAATAATAATAATAATAATAATAATAATAATAATAATAATAATAATAATAATAA